CCTCAGGCCTTTCTTTCCCACCATTATGTCTTCCATCTCTTAGCCTTCTGAGGAGGGTTTAAGTGTGCTCGAACGTCTCCCTAGTGACAAGTTCTGACCTTAGGTTTATCCCTAGACACTATCCTATTCCTCATTCAGAACCTAGCTTCTCTCTTGAAGGGTCTGATGGTCCAAATGTCTTGTTATATCATTAGCCATTCTCTCCTCTCATGATCCAATTCATTAATCAGACCAAATGGTCCTTTGCTGAAGTTGCTGATGCTCTCTTCTACATGCCAAGCCACCGTGCTCATAGTTTCATTTTATTAGACTGCTGTTTTAGAACTTTACCTGTAAACACTAGAAACTGAGCCTGGATAATGTAAGGGGAGAAAAAAAGACAATTGCAGCTCCCATAATCACGGATAAGCAATTCATATCAGGTTTGAAGCATGATACTCGGAGGGAGGTTAGGAAGTCAAAGTTTGGACCCTGAGACGTGTACCGTGCTTGGTGGAGGACAGAACGCTATGATTGACACCACTGTTGCTGCTGACAACTGTGTACTGAATGTAGTGGTTCTGGAGTGACTCCTCCTGTGGGGAGCAGATGAAGCCCTAAGCGAGTTTGATTTGTTGACCTGAACAGGCCATGTCAGGACTCCAATGCCCCTGATCCATGGAAATGGCCAACCCTTCCCAGGTCAGGCCAGGTGCTGACACTGCATATAAAGACTACCAAGTGCAGCATTCCACCTCCCAGATGACAGGACCTGGGACTTCTCCCCTATGGGGACTTCCCTCTGAACTAGGCAAACCAGCCTCTTCCTCACTGTGTGCTGTATACAGCAAATCTGTCGAGTTTCCAGGTTGATGCTGGTTCATCTCCTTCAGAGGACATGACCCCCTGAGCTCAGCTTTGCCATGTGTCAACCCTTAGAGCCAGCAGGTCGTGGCATCCCACCTATTAACTGCCCATTTGGATGCTTAAACATTTACTAAAGGCTTAAAAAATACGAAGTAACTACTGAACGAGAATACAAAGGCAGACAATGTTTTCATGCAGCTATTGGATGTGATTTAAGTTATGTTACTATAAAGGTCTGAAAAATTTACAGTAAAATGTCCTGATAATTTAGTATTAATAATTTATTGTTGAGCACAATGGTTTCATAAAGTACATTTACTGTAGCCTAAAGTGTACAGGGCAGAGTCACGGGCTGGCTCTCCATGTTCACTGACTCACCAGGACAATCGCCTGGCTACTCAGCCTTGTTCATGCTAAGTGCTTTAGAATGGGGCAACATTCTTTTGCCTGTGTGTGTGTGTGTGTGTGTGTGTGTGTGTGTGTGTGTGTGTGTAGGCCTAAGAGCACAACGTTGACCTTGAGTGTCTTCCTCCATTGCTCTCCATTTTATTTATTGAGACAGGTCTCACAATTGAACCCTGACATTGTTGGTAAGGCTAGTCTAACTAGTTACCTCATTCTGGGAGTCCCTCCCTCTGCCTCTGAGATTCCAGGTGTTTGTCAGGCTTGCTTGGCACCCATGTCGGAACTGCGCCCTGACTTCAGTGCTCACACTTGGCGCAACAAGGGCTGTGTCTGCTGAACACTGCCCCCCAGCTCCACATGCACCTTTAAACAAATCCCTCACACATGTTTTCAGTAAGCCTCTCTGTGTTTAGCTATCTTCAGCCACACAACTAATGTAGTGTTAAGGTATCACACCCACAGCAGTCAGTTCTGTAACGTGGTGTACCAATAGAAGCCAAGGCCACACCACCTATCACAGGCTGTGGTAAGCTGCACAATTATGGGTTATGTAAGGACAGTCTCTAGTGTTTCATAACGATGGGATCCTGAACAGTGTTCTGCTCACAGCCCTGTCCTTAAACAAGATATGAGTACATAAGTTCATTTTTGTGTATGGGTCATCCATCCTGTAACATTGCTAGACTCATTTTATTAAATGGATTCCGTATTTTCTATGTGTATAGTTGTGCTACATGCAAACAAAGATAGCTTTATGTCTTCCATTATAACCTGAATCATTTTTTTTCCTTGTTATTGCCCTGACTGGAACCTTATGGTGTTTAGTTGAATTTCCAGCACAATGCTGAGTGTGTCTTATAAACATGAGGAAAAATGAAATATGTTATCATTTAAGAGCTCAGAATTCTGCCTTACAAACTTAGAAGATTCTATTATAAAGGCTACTGAAAATGTTGGTCATTGGATAGTTTAATTAAGTTTACCCCTCTTAAAAATGTGAGAAAGAGAACATAAACAGAAAGTAAGTGCAGGGCATCGGATAGTCAAAACTTGTGGCAATATAAAGAAGCACTGGAGGGTAGAGTCACAGAGAAATGAACATAGTTGAGATGCATGCCACTGCTTTTTGTGTTAGTTGGAAGCTAGAGATAGCGATATGATAAAACAGACCACAGATTCAATACACAGACACTTGATTATTAAGTTCTCTATTCTGCCATGTGAACAAGGAACAGGTAGCTTTTGAATAGGCAGAAGAAAACTAAGATATCTATGGAAACCAGGAGAGAGAAAGGGAAAGGGGAAAGCAGGACAAGGGGATGGACTGCAGATGGAGGTGCTCCCGGTGGAGAAGCGTTAGATGTATCATTTCCATGAGAGCAGTAGACAGCCCTGCTATTCCTGATGCTTCCAAACACAGCATTAAGGGTATCTTAGAGTTTATGTGGAAGAAAAAGAAATGGATATGAGGTAAGTTTGCCATTGTTTGAAGCCATCATCTACCTGAAAATTCAATAGATACAACAGAAAACTACCTGAAAAATATTTCTAGCTGTATTAGACTATGGCTTTCAAGTAAGTAGTTCCTATTTATTCAATAAAAATTAACTAGTAAGTGAAACATAAATAAGGGCAGACAGGCACATGAGAGAACTATTAATAGTCAGTGGACTGGCAATTTGAAACCCAGGTTTTACCAAGGTGTTCTGAAATGCACCAGAATTTTGTCTCTGTTCAAAATGGAAGTTTTGGAATGCCTCAATAGTAGAACCCAGGATAGTAACTTATTATTAGAGAAAAGGTGGAAGTAGTTATCACAGGGAGCCATGGGCTTTGTGGAATCAGAATGGTTTGATCTGTATAGATCTGTGACAATGTTTAATTTAAGATAGGAACCCACAGATTCAGCCAAATATCACGTATCTAGTATCACGTACTAGAATATGTTGACATTCAACCGAAAAGCTTTGTAGATTTTATGGATATATGTTCAGTTAAGAGTCTCAGTCAGTTCTCAGACTCAGGCCCAATTCCTTGACCAGAATCTTGTGAAGAAAAGCAAATCCTCCTGGAGGAAGTGCCACCATGGCATGGTGAGAGTATATCCTATGACTCATCTCCAGGGCTTGTTCAAAGGGACCTTGGGTCAATTACAAGGTGACTGAGGACGGGAGAAAGCAAAACCCCAGCCTTTCCAGGGTAAAGCTGAAGGCACAGTGTGAGTTCTCTTTCAGATTGGACTCTCAGATAAAAGTCCTCTCGTGTGGTGGGTATGGTGTCATATGCTTATAACGCCTCATTATATTCCTGCACCCAGGAGACTAAAGCAAATTCTAGTTGAGTGTAAGGGCAATCCAGGCTACATCTTAAGAGCCTGTTATAAGGAGGAGGTGAAAGAAGAGAGGAAAAAGGAGAAGGAAGGAGAGACAAAGGATATAGAAAAAAAGAGAAAGAAGAAAATTCTCTAGATAAATATGGCTGTCAGAAGTCTATAAAATATTTACTTAAATAAAATGTTCACCCTGTATGTCACATTTATCTAGGCCTTAACCTAATGTTCTGATGTATTTCTTCCAAAATAAATAGAAATTGTGTTAAAAACTCCTTAAAAATATTCATGTCTTCAGACAGATTCTGAGTTCATGTTTATTTCTGAAATACTTAGATTGGATAGATAATAGTTTCAGTTTCTTTTTATTTTTAAATATATGAGGTAACTCACCATAATAAAAAAAGAATTAATAGGGGCTTGGGTTTATATACACTGCCTTGTCATATCTGAATAAACAACTAGGATGATTTATCACTTAAGAAAAGAGAAACAAATCAATGGATAGCCATATCCAAGTAGTGGAAAATTAAAAAGCTCAATTTTACTGGGCTATTGGAAGAAAATAGTTAATTATTCTAATGTTTCAAGTGAAAATACAACTTGAGATGACAAACATATCTAGATTAGGTAGACACTGATAAAAGAAAAATAGAACATGGTTGAGTGAAGACAAAAAATATTTGAGGGATTGGAGAAATGGTTCATGAGCTGAGTGCTTGCTGCTCTTAGAGAAGACTGGGATTCAGTTCCCAGCAGCCATATCAGGCAGCTCACAACCTCTTATAACTTTAGCTTCAGAGGATCTGATGCCCTCTTCTGGCCTTTTCAGGTACCTGCACTTGTGATCATATACTCACACACAGACACACACATTACTAAAAATAAAGCAACTCTTTAAAAATACATGGTTTTATATTTTTTTGACAGAATAACCTAGACATTTGCATTAAAAAGGAGAATGAATTTCTATCAGTGTGTCACCCTTATATGAACACAGGAAATATCCACACAGTTATTGAAAATACTAGAGCTGTAAAAGCAAAGGGAAAATTGTTCTGGGCAGAACCTCCTTGAAGTACTGCCAAGACCAAAATGTTCCAAGGAAGGCTGAGGACATTTGATGAACACAAAACACAAAGCCTGGTTATGGAGCCACTAAGTGGAGCTCCCTTAGCCTTTATTTATTTTTAAAAATTTTACATGTACAAAAGTATAAATTGCTACTATAAAATAACTAAGAGAATGTACCTACTGATATACTTGGAAATCATTAGTACAATTCTGAAATAACTATTAGAGGAATGACTGACTTAATCTGAGCTAACACCTGAACTAAGAAAGATAACCCAAATCCCCATGGTCCTAACCGATACCAGTGCAAAGGAGGCAAAGACCGTAATGCACTCATGCTACTCACCGGAAGCCCTTGTTTTCCCAGTATCCCAGGCTTTCCAGGGTTTCCTGCCATGCCGTCTACTCCATGGTAGCCTTGCAAGCCTTTCGGTCCAGGAAGACCTGGAAGTCCCTTGGTAATTAAAAATTATTGTCATTACAGAGACATATTAGGCAGATGGCATTTCATGGTATAGAGAAGGTTATATATTTCTATACCTTGCCTTAAGATAAAATTTTCACTATTTCTTAGTGACTTAATATTTGTGTACGCAAAAGAGTTGCCTTAAAAGTCACCCAAACAGATCTAAGGCAATAACTGCATAGAACATTTGCTTAGCATCCAGAAGGCCACCATATCAGCCCAAGAAAACATCTCCTAAGCAAAAATGAAAGCGAATCAGGCATTTATTGTGCAACTGCTTGAGCCTCAGTGGGATTCCCTGACGTTTCTTACCATGTCAGTCCATCTTTCTCTAGCTATCAAGAAAAGATGAGAGGTAGACACCTGTGAGCTTGAGATGCAGCTATCAGATTTTTCTGTAATCCCTTGCCTCATGTTTTCCCCCAAAGAATAAAGACTATGGCACTGCTTGTTTTCCTTTACGTCAGATAATCCTGTGACTGACATCAGGCCTGAATAACTTTCTACTCTTGAACAAATGGGTTTTATCTGTAGTGCCTTTGATATAAATGTGCTTACAACTTCTTCCCCCCACCCCCTTGTCCCAGTGTTGGCTGGGCAGCATCGGAAGCAGTATCTTTGCTAATCAGCCAGTCGGCACATACCTACCCAGCTAGAGGAGGACACTGACACAAAGGAAAAATTAACCTTTATTCTGGGACAAAGGACTGCTTTCCACGCCCAAGACTTTCTGCTCTAATTGCCAGGAGAATACGAAGCTGAGCCCTCCAATTAAAACCTAGCTCATGTCTTTTTAATTATTCTTGAAGACGCTGACCTTTGTTACCACTTACTTGGTCATGTTCCCAAGTTCCCTGTTTACAGTGGTTCACTAAGAGAGAGGAGTGAGAGTCCCCAGGGAGGGCTCCATAACACGGGGAAATAGCATCCTTCACTCGCAGGAACTTAGATTTAAACAGTAAGTTTGGTTCTGAGTTTAGTGGTTATATTTTGTTCCCTCTGTGTTCCAGCAGGGGTTTAAATTTTTTCAAGACAGTCTGATTTATCCAACATGACATAATTGGCCCAAACTATTCTACTTGCTAAAGTTGTGAATTCTGTTTAGAAAAACAGGAACGATAAAAAGGGGTCTGTTACTTACGGGAATGCCAGGTTTCCCAGAAGGACCAGGAACTCCTTTTTTCCCCTTGGGACCCTGAAAATGGGAAGCACAGTTGTTAATAGATAGAAATAAACTGACTTAAATAAGCCATGGGAAAAAAATGATGAGGCCTGAATGGCTCAGAAGCATACACAACTAGCTGTCTATTAGTGGAATGGCCATTTAATTTTCCCAGGAGGTAGGTGTGTGTGTGTGTGTGTGTGTGTGTGTGTGTGAGAGAGAGAGAGAGAGAGAGAGAGAGAGAGAGAGACTTCCATCATGAAACATGGGATAATTTGAACAGGTCACATATGAATTTTCTTTTTGCTCTGAATTCTATGACTTAAAAATTCAAATCATAACTGTAAAGGCATTATTTTGCAAATGACCCTACTTTCAGCAGGGTATAAGGGTCTAAATTCAGTAGATATTTATTGAGTATCATAATGTTGTGGCATCTGTTACATGCTAGGAATCCGAAGGCAAGGCTCCTGGTCACAAGACATTTACTATGTGGTGATGGATGTGAACCAAGAGCCCAAAATGTGCTTCCATGGAAGCACAAAGAACACGCTTTTAAATAAGAAAAATGGGTATTATTTCCCAAGGAACAGTTTGTTTTCCCATGTGTGAGATGTTTTAAGTCATAATTGATTCAGCAGTAACTGGCCTGCCAGGATAGTTAGAGACTTTGTCCTTGCACATCATTCCATTGTTCTGATGAGATCCCCAAATTATTTTCAGATGAAAAACAGTAACCTTGTGTACAAATAAGGAGAAGCATCGTATTGTCATTACCAGGCGTACTTCTGAGAGATCATCTGAAGTTACCCCAGACGGGACTGTTTCAGCCTGGAACGGTAAGTTCTTTTTTTTTTTTTTTTTTTTTTTGAACGGTAAGTTCTTAAGACAAGCGTGCTAAAGATACAGCAGACACACAAATAATCAACTTCAGATGTTACATCTTGGAAGATGGACTTAAGTGATTGAGAAGCATGCACATCACAGAGAAAAAGGATACCTTCTTTAAGAGACAGAAAGTCCAACTCTTCAGCTGGGCTTGCTGGTATGCATTGCATCATCCCAGCACTCTGGAAGCTGCTCATGGCTCAAATAATTTTTTCTAGTCAGGCCAAGGTGGGGCCAGGATAGTGGAATTATGGCAGTTGGGGCAACTAGGGATGGCATGCATTTTGTTGGATGTGTGGAGGATGACTGAAGACTCAAGTTACCTTCCCACTGTCTTTCCTGACCATGAAAGCCCAGAATGCTACTGCAGTCAAATGAGAAAAAAGCAAATGGGAAGCATCGTATGTCAACTGCAGCATGTTTGACTATTTTAGAGGAGTTAGAGGTAGCCAACCAATCAGGTTTCCATCATTTAGCTCTCTACCACAACATGGAATGGGCATTTGAGACAGACATTTTTTTTATAAAGACATAGGTTAAGTTAATACAGATAAAGTTTGATTTTTTAAGCACATTTTCATGTATGTGCTTCAAACATTCAAATAACAAAACATAAGATTTGTGCATCATTACACGGTTACTTTTAAAGATGATCTGGAATTATTTCAGAAGTGAAATGCTGTGCCCTGAGGGCATATCTCAAGACTTATCACAGCTAGAATGTCCTTCAGACTTGGGTGGGCATCAAGAAGCAGTTCCAAATAGCACAACACTAACGGGACTTTATGAATATGAGATATATTTTAAAAGGTCGTTTTGCTAATGCTAGAAGGGGAGTCGTGGCAACCTCCACACACTGAGAACTGTTTAACCAATACCAAGATGCTGGCCTCTACTCTGTATCATTCCTTGTCACAGTTATTGTCCTAGCTGAAAAGAAGTAGGGCATCTAGGACGTCCATGGTTTTGCAATGAGGTTTCATTATGTTCAGATTACAGCACACAACACTGCTCTTGTTACGGACTAAGTGTTGTGTGTTCCCCAAATTCATGCTAAAAGTCTGACTTTAATGATGAGGCGTAACACTTGGGCCTCTGAGAGGTGCTGAGTTTTTTTCCCATTACTTAATTAACTTTACATCCTGGTAGGAAGTTTCCCTTTTTCCTCTCCTGCAAGTTCCTCCCTCTCCATTCCTCTCCTTTCCCCCTGTACCTCTCCCTTTTTTCTCAGAGAAAGGGAGACCTCCCCTGGGTATCAACCCACCTTGGCCTATCAAGCAGGACTGGGAGCATTTTCTTCTGTTGAGCTAGACAAGGCTGTCCAGTTAGGGGAAAGGGATCCAAAGGCAGGCAATAGAGGCCGAGGCAGCCCCTGCTCCTGCTGTTAGAGGTCCCAGCTGAGGAACAAGCTGTACATCTTGTACATCTTGCATATGAGGGGGCGGGGAACCTAGATCCCTCTCATGGCTGTTCTCTGGTTCGTGGTTCAGTCTCTGTGGGTCCATATGGGTCCACGTTAGTCGATTTTTGAGTTTTCTTGTGGTGTTTTTGACCTCTGGCTCTTTCAATTCCTCGGCCTAATGTTTGGCTGTGGGTCTCTGTATGAGGTTTCATTAGTTGCTGGGTGAAGCCGCCCAGATGACGGTTATGCTAGCCTCCTGTTTGCATGTATAGCAGAATATTATTAATAGACTCAGTGGTGGGTTCTCACTCACGGCATGCGACTCAAATTGGGCCAGCCATTGGTTGGCGAGGTCAGAGGTTTTGTGTGTGGGTTGTCGAGCCGCTCCATCCACTGGAAGTGCCGCCTGCCTACGTTCAGGCTCCATTTTTGGGAGTGAAAAGATTGGAAGGGGTTAGTGCTCTCCAGTCCTCCAGTGAGGACACAGTGAGGAGTTGACATCCTGTAATAGAGAGATGCTCAATCACTAGAACCTGCCCACGCTGGCATCTTGGTCTTGGGCTTAGGCTCCAGAAATGATTCTGTGCTGTTTATAAGCTATGCATCCTGTGGCAGTTAGTTACAGGAGCCTGGACAGAGTGCTTTTTGAACTGCATTATATTTTATTTTGAGAATTTTTATATTAAAATGTCTTAAACTATCTAGCACCACTAGATAGTTCCGTAACTTGGCTAAGAGCTAAGCATTACTAATCCTTGCCCCACCCCCACTCAACAATAAATCACACAGGAAATCACATGTGGCCTAAGGTGAGGGAAGTGTGCTGTTGTGCAAGCTGATACTGGATGGATAACTGGGTTAGTACCCTAAGAAAGGAAGGAGTCACACTCGAACCAACGCTCCAAGTTCAATATAATAAAAGTAGATATATTTGGCGATGCCAGACTTAACCTACTCATTTTGTTTTATTTGAATATAAGTTCTTCATAAATCCACAGATAGAATATCTGTCTTTACATCGGAAAGGCAAAAGATTCTGCAGGAAGTTTCTTCAGGGTACACAAGAAATTGCGCTTTCCCCTTTTCTTGGGTTGCACTGAAACATACACCTAACGGCCCACATGGAGCCATTTCAGAAGCCTTCCATTCATGGGCACCCCACTGGTTCTCTGACTAGAGAAGGTGGTCTAATTCTGGTGATAAAGGACAGTTTAAGGTCCCCTGTCAATCGAAACTTTGGCTTTTTGCTTTTGATCTTGCTTTTATTAAAGAAGTCTCAAGGGTAGCCATCACAACGCTCAGCTGGCTCCAACTTCCCTTGGGTGGTCAACTTCAGACAACAAGATCAGAAAACAGAATCAAGGCTTCATGCACGAAGTTTTCTTCCTCTCTTCTTTTTAACCAAGAAATTGTAATTCGCTAAGATCCAGCAGTTTGGTGTTGAGAGAGAAAGAAGGCTTTGGCTTGAGTCCTAGTCTTTGAGGCTCGCAGGACTTTCACTTATATTTGTGTCACAGAAGTCTTTGTAAGGATGCAGTGGTTTTTAGCCTCACCTTTGTCTAGAGGTACCTACTTCCACAAGCCCAGTGGATAGGTTCATTAGTTAGTTAGATTTACCTTTATTTTAATTTATTAAAAAATTGTAATTAATACAAGATTTCAAAGCAATAGCTCTTGTATAACAGTGAGACTCAGGAAATTAAGTTCCTGTTTCTGGTTCTGTTGCAAATTAGTTCTGTGATCTTAGGTAAGGCATAATCTCTCTGGGGTTTAAATTTCTTTATTTCTCAAACGAGACTGCTGTCCAGATGATTTTAAGGAGGCATTTTTAAATCTAAAAAATAAACTCAAAGCTTTTCAAAAACAATATGACAGCAATTGGACAGGACTCATCTGGCCACCAAAGGAGTCCTTAATTAATAATTCATAATCAGCGTTTATTCTTGTACCAATTAATTAGTGGTAGTATAAACTCTTAGAGGTCCTGAATTCTGCTTTGGGTTTCATGTGCCAGCACGCATCAAAAGCAACTGTTTTCTTGTATCATGTGGATGTCAAGGCATGGACTCGGAGTCTTTCAGCTCCAACACACTGGGACAGCTCCCTAGCTCACTGGAAAGGCAGTGGTCTCATACGAGATTTTGATTTTCATCACTATAGTTTTAACAGATACTAACAAGAACCAGAAAGTTTGTTATTTGAGAGATATGTCAAAAGATTAAAAAGTTTCTGATAAATGTAAAAGTTTTAATTAGAAAATTTTAGGCACTTAAGATAAATCCTTGACAAGCACCCACTTCCTTGGGTAGGATGTAGCATTGTTCTATGGGCTTATAGCTTGTTGCACAACTTTTTCCACTTTAGACACTAAAAATAGTAAGTGAAAATGAAAGACACAATGTTCCTCTGCATTTCCTTTTCTTCATCCAGAGCAGTTTTTAATACTTAACTATGTATTAGTCTTTGTTTATTTAGTGTGCATGTGTTTGTGTATGTGCACGCGCATATGTGTGTGCAGGTTCATGTGTGTTAGAAAATAACTTTGGGTATTGTTCCTCAGGCTCTACTCTCTTTTATTTTAATTTTTAAGTTATGTTTATGTGTGTAAGTCTGTGTGGGGGCATGTGCACATAAATATAGGTGCCCATGGTGCCAGAAGAGGACATTTGATCCTATGAAGCTGGTCTTACAGGTGGTTGTGAAATACCCAATGGGGGTGTTGAAACCTGAACTTGGGCCTTCTACAAGAGCGATAGTAAAGCCATCTTTCCAGCCCCTCTTCATCCCCTCCCCCATTGACCTGCAACTTGCTGAGGAATTCACCTGTGTCTGATTCTCTGCATATTTTAAATATCTAGGCCTTTAAAATACAGGTTCTAGGAATCCCAACTCAGGTCCTCATGCTTGCAAAACCAGTAATTTACTGACTGAGCTATATCTCTAACTCCTAATTCTTTTCTATTAAAGAATCAGATGTGATGTTACTACATATATAATCTGAATATTTAAAAAGGCTTGTGGCCGAACAACTATTGAGCATCTATTCAGCATATCAACCTCATTGTACTGGTTAACTCTGCCAGTATGAAACACATATCTGAGTAAGGACACCTTTATACATTAGTAGAAACATAAATTCACCATCATTTTTCTATCTATTCCTATACATTTTAAAATTAAGCTACAGTACATATTCTTAAGTGTTCAAAATTAAGGGACAGGAGTGGTTAGTGGTAGAGAAGTTTTTTTTTGTGTGTGTTCAAGGCCCTTTGTTCAATCTCTTCTACTAGAAAAAAAATATATTAATCTTGAATCAGTAGCATGTGATATCAGGATGTCGTGAGCACCAGGATAGCCAAGGACTGTCAGTGCAATTGAAAAGCCACCAGCTGTGTATATTTGAAGCCAGCTCAGTCTGGAAGAAGTTTAAATTTAGTGAACCAGCAGAGCTGCCATCTGATTGATAATGAATAATTAATTTGCTTTATGAAAAAAAAATCTCTTTTCCCAATTGTTGAGTCTATGATACATAATCAAATGACTGTTTCTCCTTTGAGCCTATGAGATAGATTATTTGCTTGAACAAACTTCAATCAGACTCCTCGACCCTGGTCAATCTATTCACTTGTTTATAGAGCCAAAGTATAGCAGAGTCTGCTCGGTAAGAACCCCTGCCCTCCATCTCTGATCCCTCTGGATGCAGGATTCTTTTTTTAAATATGTTTTTATTTTAATTTTTATTAATTACACTTTATTCACTTTGTATCTCCCCTGTAGCTCCCCCCTACTCCCCTCCCAATCCTACCCTCTTTCCCCCTTCTTCATGCATGCCCCTACCCAAGTCCACTGATAGGAGAGGTCTTCCTCTCCTTCCTTCTGATCCTAGTCTATCAGGTCTCATCTGCAGGTGTGACTGCATTGTCTTCCTCTGTGGCCTGGTAAGGCTGCTCCCTCCTCAGGGAAAGGTGATCAAAGAGCAGGCCAATCAGTTCATGTCAGAGACAGTCCCTGTTCCCATTACTATGGCACCCACTGGGACACTGAACTGCCATAGGCTACATCTGTGCAGGGGTTCTAGGTTATCTCTATGAATGGTTCTTGGTTGGAGTATCAGTCTCAGAAAAGACCCCTGTGCACAGATTTTTTGGTTCTGTTGCTCTCCTTGTGGGGCTTCTGTTCTCTCCAGGTCTTACTATTTCCCACTTCTTTCATAAGGTTCCCTGCACTCTGCCCAAAGGTTGGCCATAAGTCTCAGCATGTGCTTTGATACCCTGCAGGGTAGAGTCTTTCAGAGGTCTTCTGTGGTAGGCTCCTATCCTGTTCCTTCTTTTCTCCTTCTTCTGATGTCCATCCTCTTTGCCTTTCTGAATAGGGATTGAGCATTTTAGCCAGAGTCCTCCTTTAGGTGTACAGATTTTAGTATGTTTATCCTATATTATATGTCTAATATCCACTTATGAGTAAGTATATACCCTGTGACTTTCTGCTTCTGGGATATCTCACACTATGGACACCTGATTTTTGACAAAGATACCAAGACCATTCAATGGAACAAAGATAGCATCTTCAACAAATGGTGCTGTTCTAACTGGATGTCTACCTGTAGAAAATGCAAATAGATCCATATTTATCACCCGGCACAAAACTAAAGTTCAAGTGGATCAAAGATCTCAATCTAGAACCAGACACACTAAACCTGCTAGAAGAAAAAGTGGGGATGCAGATTCTTTAGCCTCATGTAAGATCTGATTACCTTGGCTTGTCCACACCAGGGCTCCTGTTAGTCTACTTATCTGGACTCTCCCACATTGCTAACACTATCCTTAGTAATTTTCCATCCCTGGATCCATCCTCCTTGTGTCTGCTGGTTCTTTATTCAGAATCAAACCCAATTTCTGTCCAACTCTAAACACCTCATTATGGGGCTGCCTATAGCCATTGTAACTGTTATGAACACAGTTTTTATTAGCCTTCTTTAACAAGTGTTGAATAGTTTTCCTTGTTTACAACTTCTATAACTTGTTTGACTGATAGTTTTTCACTCTACAATGTTGATATTTCTGTTTGAAACCGTAGTAGAAGACTACCTTTGGGGATATTGTTAGGCATATTTTTTTACAAAGCCAGGGTAGGTAAAGTGCAGTTTAGATGCTAGTCAAGAGATATAAGTCAGTCAATCATGGTTTAGCACAGTGTTTAACAGCACCCTCCCACCCCCAAGAGGCTTACAGTGATCTCCATTCAGTAGAGTGAATGGCTATTTGAATTAGAAACAGCAACCGCTAGTGTGTTTGCTTTCTTAAGCCAACAATAAAGTTCATACTGCCTCATATAAATCCCACTTACTTCAGATCCTCTCTCTCCTTTCAGTCCGTGTCCACCCTGGTCGCCGGGTTCACCCTTTAATGGAAGCCAAGGGAGAAATCTCATGTAAAGCACACAAGAAATGAGCTACATTAATGTGATTTTTCTTTAAATGGCAGAATTACAGAATGCTTTCACAACATACTGGTGGCCCTTGTTGTCCACTGGCACCTCTGAGTCCTGGCACACCCGCATGGCCCTAGGAAAATAAAATAATGTATTAATTCAAATAAGCTCTGTCATGTGACCTAGAGTGTTATCATTTAAAATGGAAGCACAGTACTCTAGAAGTTAACTTAAATATTGAGTCTTTGAAATAGGATAGAACACAATAGTTGAGGGATATGTTTATGAATCTGCTATCCTTATGGTGGACCAATATAATATTTTTGTTTTTGTTTCAAAATGTGTGTTAATACAGAAGATTGAATGGTGGATCACAGTGGTGCCTGATCTTCAAAGCCTGTAAATGTGGTAATGTTTGGAAGAGTCTTTATAGATGTTATTACATTAAGGTTCCCAGAGCACCTGAGCCAGCTACAAAGTTCAGGATGGTGATGGTCAGCTATAACTTTGCTACTTCCCTGGCTTGTCATAGTAGGGAGACCTTTCCACAAGGATCACATAATCACCAAGTGCCTATTTGGACTCTATGAAGTCAAGGCACAGTTCCTACGAACAATAAAGCACTTCCTGGGAGTTTCACTTCATGTCTGCTATCTCTTGGTAAATGCTGACAATGCCGGTCTTGTGAAGTAGCAAAACTTAAACGGGATACAGTAAACTCTTGTGAAAGAACTTGAGGGAAGTGGTCCATTCTTTCTGAGGATGGTAGTGGTGGGTGAGCTGAATGGCTATGGGACTGTATAAGCAAAATGGGGACAAGTTCAACCTCAGGGAATTCATGTGCAAGATGAAACAGTGAAGATTTCCCGGTAGAGGAACGAGTAGAGAAGGTAAGTAGAGATTTATGTGACAAAATGGATTTGAGAGGGCTATGGCTCAAGACCTCTGGGGACTCTAGTTAGAGAGGTATTGAAATAATCCAGACAAAAGATATCTTGAGAAAATCAGTTTAACAGTGACAATCAACTGTCTACTTCCTTCTTGTCTGATCACCTTGGCTAATCTCTATCTTTCAGAAGTGACCACAGAACATCGTCTGTGAGACAGAGATGAACTCTGTCAAGTAAGCCACCAGTTCATTAATAAAAGCATATTATGCATAGGGCGTAGAACTAAACATTATACAATAAACTGATAATAAATACATAGAAAAATTATAATAAATACATACAAGGTATAAATAATAAATAATAAAAGGTAGTCTAAACTTAGATTCTAATTGGAGATCTAAGGCACCATGTAATAATAATAAAAAAAAACAGCAAAAATGTAGTAACAAAAGGCAGTAAAATGTGTTGAGTGATGTAATATTACAGGGCTGCAGAGGGCAAGGTTGTTGTTAGAGTGTGTCACTGAAGAGGAAATTTAGAGACAAATTATGAATTGCAGGTAGGGTCTCAGTAAGCAAGTATTATGTGATACTGAGAGCAGGCAGAGCATCTTTTGAGCAAAGAAATAAGACAAAGTACAGGGAAAGAGACATTGCAAACAAGAGACAAGAGATGGAAGGCAACAGCATAAAACATCATCAATGGGAACATGAGTCTAAAAATAAGTCTAAACTTGACTCTAAAAATAACATGTGGGCTAACCATTTCAGGTGATTAAGTCTCTTTTACAAAATCTAAGAAACGGAAGAGGCGAAGGGCTGATTTAAGCCATGGTGCCCCCATGTTATCCATCTATTTCTCTGCCTTTATGAGATTTCTACTCCATACCACGGACTCTGCATCCTAGAAATTGGGATGTGGTAATGAAAGAAAAGGAAAAGATTCTTATTCTCCTAGGTCTGACATTTTGATGAGTGAAGACTAGTAATAAAGAAAAAATAAAAAATAAAAAAGTGGTAAGGTGATATAATGCTCTGCACCATGATGGAAATCAGGTCTACTTTAGTTATGGCTGGCAGATCTGCTTAAGTAGGGGTGGTAGGGTTCCCTGGTGCTAACAGTCCAGCTATGATGAGAATAAAGCACCCGTGGGAAGAAACTAAGATGATATTAGAGAGTAGAACGAGCTAGATGTCTTCTGAACTCAAAACAGAATGCATGGCCAATTATCTCGGGTGTTTGCTTGTTTGAAACTGAACACGGTTTTGGGGAAATTCTACTTAAATTTAAAAGCAAGGTGTGTAGCTCGCAATGATTACCTTATAGCCCTCGTCACCATGCTCTCCTCTCTCTCCTTGTTCCCCTACTGGTCCCTAGAGATATCACACACAAAGACAATCAGTTTATGGTTGTAATTCCTGAGTACAGATACTACAATAAAGATGGCTTATTCTTTTTCTAAAAATGTAAGGATCAATGTACAGTAACTTCTTTAAGCCTGCTATATAACTGAAAAATGGTTTAATTTCAACTAGTATCAAAAGTATTACTAAATTAAAAACTTGATCTATAACTTAGTAATTTATACACAGTTGACATAAGATTTAAAAAGTTTTATATCCAGCTATTCAAACTAATATAAGAAATTATAACACAAGTATATAATTAGTATGAGGTTCATTGCTAAAACATAATATATAAATATAATCTCATAATGATTCTGCTATGAAAAATATTGAAGAATTAGAGTCTAGTAAAACCTTGAATTATATGAGTATAAAACCATATTTTAAATCTTGTAGTTTTCATAATGTTACATGAATTAAAATGTATGCAAGACTTAATTCCATTTATTTTACAGGCTTTTTCAACTAACCTAAAGAAATAAGACTTATTTTTAAAAATACTTCTCATATGAAATTTTTGATATGAAAAACTGTTCAAATAATAATATTTAAGGCTTACACAAAGTATTGGGAGTATCAGTTACCACACACTAGAGCCTCTGTCTTAACTGAAATTTAAATTGAGGTAAGTCAGAAAAGGAGTAGAATTTATTATAGACTACTGATAGACAAAATTGATCTTACTCCTAAACAGTTAGTAGGCATAACAAAAAAAGACAGAAGCTATGATCCTGTCTTATTCTGGGTATCTGGCTTAAATCCCGGCCTATCTCATGTCTACTGAGAAATTCCACTGTAATTACATTTTACTTTTAGTGCAGAAGTATATATTACATTTCGGTGGACAGAATTTGATTGACATTCCTGAACCTGAGAAAGCAAATATCCTATTGTCTACTTGGGATTTTTTTCTGTTTGTTGGACAATTTATATATTATTTCCATATATTTCCCTCTAAATCAGTGGCTCTCAACATTCCTAATGCTGTGACCCTTTAATAAAGTTTTTCATGTTGTGGTGACCTCTGACTGACCATAAGATTATTTTTGTTTCTACTTCATAGCTATAATTTTGCTGTTATGCATCATAATGTAAATATCTGGTATGCACGATTTCTGATATACAATCCCTGTGAAAGGGTTATTTGAACCCTAAAGAGGTTATGACCCATGTGTTGAGAACCTCTAAGTGGTTTAGACAGACTAGAACATTTTTCATAAAGATACTTAAAACATTTATATAGAGACAGCCTCTATATGAAATGTCTTGATTCATTTGAAACAGACTATAATTTTCTATATTCTTTCTGACAGTAAAATATCAATGGCAACTGTACCATAGAGCCAGATCAAAATACTGGGACTATTCATTCTGAACCCATGCCTCTGGCATCCTTTGATACTTTGTGAAAAATAGAAAATAGAAAATATAACTAATACGCTTATTTCTTGAACTAGGCATTACCCAGCCCCTTAAATTTACATATGTCCTTCACCTATTACGTTAGTCTTAAATGATCGTACAATTGGTTATTTAGATATCAAAGCTATATTAGTAGCTACTTTTCAAAAAAAAATACAGTTTGTCTTTAAATATGTATGGAGAGGACCTAAAACCCCTCCTCGGCTATAGCCTATAGATTCAGTCTCCAAGTGGGTTCCCTAGTAAAGGGAGCAGGGGTTGTCTCTGACATGAACTCAGTAGCAGTCTCTCTGATCATTGCCCCCTGAAGGGTGTAGCCTTGCCAGGCCACAGAGGAAGACATTGCAGCCAGTCCTGATGAGACCTGATAAGCTAGGGTCAGATAGAAGGAGAGTAGGACTTACTTTATCAGTGGACTAGGGGAGGCACATAGGGGAAGAAAAGGGAGGGAGGGTGGGATTGGGAGGAGACAAAGGAGGGGGCCACAGCCAGGATCTAAAGTGAATAAATTGTAATAAATAATAATAATTAAATTTTAAAAATTAAAAAATGTTGGATTTGAAGACTATATGTCCACAGTCTTGAAAAAACATAGGCTCTAATGACTGTTTATAAAAATGACCAAACCATTTGGCAACTGTGAGTAACTTATAATAAACATATACAGATCAGATTTTTATAAAAATACTCCAGAAACAAATCTCATCTTGATAATTGAAGAAATATTTGCCCTAAAAAGTCTAGTGCATATTAGTTTTGGGCCATCTCTGTTCAAACTTGTCATGCATTCAATTGAAAGTTAGATTTCATAATTAATTTTCTTAAACATATATCTTGGCTAAGGATTTTCATGCGTGTAGTTTTTCATAACTAAGATTTTTACATTATTTAGATGGTATCGAGATAACTATTGCTTTACTATAAAGCCATGTTATGAAACTAGCCAAATAAAACTGACAAGATATGTTTGACATCGAAAGCTTCTGACTGACTTTCATCCTTAGGTACTGAAATAATTTTAGAAAAGACCTACTGGTTCACCTCGGGGCCCAGGAGGTCCTAAGACTTGGCTGTCTTCTCCTGGGTAGCCCTAAAAAGAAAATGAAAATTTATTAATGCAACTAAATTAAGAAAGCACATTTAAAATACTCTTATTTTCTAATGTTATTTTTTTTTTTACTTTATTTAAGTGAAAGCTTTGTAGCTAAAGAATTAAATGTATCACATCTCATATACAGTTCTTGTTTGTATATGGTTTTTGGAAGTATTAATCTGTTTTTCATCATAGAGAATGAATCTTAGAAAATTTCCTAACATGTAGGCCTTCAATTAAATCATAAGCTGAGTTGTGCTATAGTTTTTTAAAGCATTAGAAACTTTAAATCTAAGTTAATATTTATATGCTATGGTCATTTCACTCATTACCTCACATCCTCTTGCAATAAATAATTTTGCTTTTATGAAACTGTGTATCAGAAAACACCCTCAAATATACTGTTTCATCTCAATCTTCAATTAATCCATGGAAGCTATTTTAATAATTTATTTAAGTTTTAGTTCCTTGGTATTTATATCCTATTAGAATTTGCAAATTTTCCAGCTTGAAAAGTGGTTCTTCTATCTTTTGCAACATTTTCAGGCATTCACTTAGAGAGAAATCATAGGCTTAATACATAACTTTGGAATTAAAAGGCCAAACATAACACACTCACCTTTTCTCCTTTAGGTCCTGACAATCCAGAGGGTCCTGGCTGACCTTGATGACCCTGTAAGAAGAGAGACAAGCAGAGAGATAGTCCCCAGAGCAAGCAGACATGTGCTATGTCTCCCAAGCCCATGCTATAATTCATTGCAGTATTCTGAGAAGAATACTGAATAGAAGTTGAGAATTAGATACATCACGATGCTTTATCAAGGGAAACAAACCTTTTTAAAGAACAGGGTTTACTTTACATATTAGAACTTTCTTTTTTCGGTGGTGGATATCTATATCTCTATCTATATATATGATAGTAAAGGTGTAAAATCCAGTACGAAGCTCCACAATGACCATTCTAATTGCACAGAAATGTGAGACTTCGGGTCTAACTTCATTGCATTTGTTTTTACTTGCATGGTCTTTATAATACAGTTTTAATAAGAAAAAAGTAAATTTTAATTTGCATGTTTGGGATATAATATGAAATAAAAATGCTTTCCTGTCTGTGTTAATATTATATATATATTATCACAGACAGGAAAGCATTTTTATATTATATATAATATATATATTATATATATAATTAGAAATACTTACTCTGTATCCTGGGATCCCTGGTTCTCCTTCAGGTCCCATCAATCCTAATGGGCCCTAAAGATCAAAATAAATATAAGAGATAAAACACAAATGTTTAAATTATTAAACGTCTGTATCTATTATTGAAACTTTTACCTTTACATTTTCATGGGTTGAAATTCTACACAGTACAATTGGGAAAACAGAAAAATAAAATGACATCCCCGATTTTTTTTTTATGTGTTTCTTTAGAACCACAAAAATTCCACAAACAATGTTTCTGGATCATTTCTGGTCTGTGCCTACTCAGTATTGAAAAACACATTCACTTATTGGAATGCTGCTGCCTCCTAGAAGGTGGTTGGAAATGCAGCTGTTGTCTGTCAAAGTCTGTGGTCACTGGATATCAGAAAGTGGAACCTGATAGTGTTTGATGTTATGGCTTCGGGATTCAGAACAGCTCCATCTTCATAGGGGTTCCGGTTTCAGGAGTATGACTTTAATATGGGCCAAAGTTGATAGGTTGGAAGGAATATCAGCAATGAATGTGTTGGTAAGATTGTAAGATTATTGTTATCGGTATTTTACAGGTGACCAAGCCATATAAATTCAAGGCTGATCAGCAAATGCTCCTAATCTATTAAAAAGATTGCCCAGGCAGCTGAAAAACAGCTAAAGTAATAATGATTGTAAAACTGTCCTGTTTTTTATATTTTCAAAGAGTTTGCACACTGGTTTCTCCTGTGTGGGTCTCATAAGAAGAAGAAGGTAAGGACATGAAAGCTCAGGGTAGGTGTGTGAATTGCCATGTGCTATACCAAGCAGGCGCGGGAATCTGCCTGTGGATGTACACTTGATTAGGTTTCTTCACCGTATCTCATATACAACATTTATTTTGCTGTATTTGTAAAAGTTCACGTTACAGTTATTAACCATGAATCAGGATTTGGATAGGAACATATTTCAGTTTGAGAAAGAACTGTGAAAAGCCAATTTAAATAAGAATTCAGAAATTATGCATTACAGGGATTTTTATCCTGGAATGAAATGATGCATTTACAATACTACCTGAAGGTAACAGAAGAAAAACTGCTAAAGCTTTTAAAGAAGGTTCTATGCTCATTAGATTGAGATGAATGGCATGAGAAAAGGGGGAAAGATATTTATTTGTTTACTTGAAATAACTCTGTAAGATAAACGTAACTTTGTGATTTGAGACAAAAAATAGGTCTCAACATAGAGACAGAAGGAAATTGTTTCTGATGTGCAAATAGTTTCAAAGAAGTTTCAAACTCTGAAAACAAAGATATTGAAGGGGCCGAGTGGAGTCAGCTGGACTAATTTGGGAAAGGGGTCGGAAGCTTTTCCTGCTTCCTTGCTTGTTCTGAGTACAGAGCAGCCGAGGCGTTTCCTTAGAGGTTAAATGAGGCTGTTGTGTAACTTCGTCCAGAGAGAGAGGCGCGACTGAAGGCTGCTGCTGGTTCCAAGAACGGATACATGGGAGCTGCTACCAGGAGAAATGAAAAGTGTGAGGCTTAATGAAAACAGGGGCATGCACCTTAATGTACGTAAGAACGTATTTGCTACACGCGGGACCAACACAGAGCTGAGTGTTTGGAGAGGTCATTTCTCTTAAAATTCGGTGAGAGACTAAGAAGAATGCTGAAGATTGAGGAGTTCAGTAAACGAGCTTATTGTCATAGAGACAGGGTGGAACTTTGTGCGCACACACCCATAGAAAACACACAACCTCACAAATGTTCAGTACATACGGTCTCAAAATTTTAGTTCTTCAAAGCAGGAATTGCAGATTCTATTCTCTGCATGTGATGAGACACGGTAAGAAAGGAGCAAAGACACACACAAAAAGGGATCTACTTAAACTTAAAAATTCTTCAGAACAACTCTTCCTGAGAAGAAAACAGAATTTGTAATTGCAGGCTGTTTAAAAGCAAATGCTGGAAAAATACCAACATAAAAGGAAGAGAAATATAGCTAGTGACAGTCAGAAAGATGTAGATTAAATCATCAAACCAAAGGGCCAAAGGGCCTCCCTGTGGCCATTGAACATTTATAGAAGATTATGACTTTTTTTTTTTCTTGTATTTCAGCTATTACATTATCTTTGAACTCAGTTTTTGAGGGACTCCAAGGTTTTGGAGGTCTCCAAGTGGCTTGTTTTCTAATCCTCTGTGTGTGTGTTTCTTGCTGTGATTTGCACATCTGTTGGGAGAGAGGTGCCCCCTAGTTACATTGCTTTTTCTAGTTGGCCTTCTGTGTGCTTCTTTAGCTTTCTGTGAGTCTTCTGACATGACACCAACTTCTGCTTAGAGGGAGACACAGATACATTGCTCTGACAACAAGCTCGGGTTAAAATGCAGTAACATCTTCACTCCAGTAAGGCAATGGTCCAGGGAAAAACAGAGTAAATAGGAGAGAAGCACGGGAGAGAAGCAAACAATGCTGCAAGACCTCCATGTCTACATGTGGAAGAATGAAAGTAAATTCACATCTTTCCTTTGTTCACAAATAAATTCAAAGTGGATCAAAGACTGGAATGTCATAACTGGAACTCTGACCCAAACAAATGAAGAATTTAGTAAAATCCTAAATCTCCTAGTTGAAACTGTCATTTAAGAAAGAAAGGAGATTTCTCTAAAGGAAGAAAGCATATTTCAGAAATAATACTCGACCTGAGACCTCAGGAGGGTTCTCTCCAGGGACAGGGACTGCTCCTTGTCACACGGCCTTACCTCTGCAGTCCTTACCACTCTCCACATTCCAATCAGTGTACTAAGTCAAAAGAATAAACATGGAAGGCTATATCTTTCTTCACCGTAAGTTTATTCATTGAATGTGTGTTCAGAGTATGAAAATAGATTTCTTATACAGGTCTAATAAAATAGTATGAAGGAAAAGGAATTATATTAATGAGAATAAAATTTATTGAAAACCAGAATACTCCTTATACAAAAGATGTTAGAGCAGAGGAAAATGGTATAGCCCTAATCAGAGATTCGTGAGCAATGAGTGTGTGGAAAGATGTCTCATGTTTCTCTGTAGAAAGGTCAGCTGTTAGTAGAAATGGAAGGGCTGATTCTAAAGTTCACGCATAAGATGAGCATAAGAGCCAGGCTTCTCTGGGAATGGAAATACCCAGGATCTGTTCTAACAGACCTCAAAGGATGTATGATAGACAGATCAGGCTCCCATGGACCAGAAGTCGATTGATTAAACCACTGCATACTTGATTTTAGTTACAGTAAAAGCTTTACGTGAAATGGAAAATACATTGAGTATTAAACAGTAAAATTAAAAAAACATTCAGTGGGGGAAGACAGACATCTATCTTCCATAACTAAAGAAACAAAAACATCTCTACATGGCTTAAAGAATTAAAAACAATGTTATAAATGTTTCAGGATGAAATATGGAAGAACATTTTGTTTAAAGAAGATTTTGCATACTTTAGGTGGGGAATTTCTAATAAGAAAATAAAACCCAGGAAATGTAAAGGAAAATACTGACAGCTTTGACTATTAAAGTTAAAATTCTCTGCTTAGCAAAAGACAAAATTAATAGATAATTGACAGAAAGGGAATCATTTGTAGTTTATTTTGTAACATGCTTGACAAATTATATAAACACTTTATATTTTTGAGTAATGGTTGCAAATTAGCAAGAAAAAATAGCCACCAAAGTGGAAATATGTCCTGTGTGTGTGTGTGTGTATGTATGTGTGTGTATATATGTGTTTATACACACATACATTTATTAACAAGAAACTTTCAGAAGAAAAAGTATATATTACATAGTTATAACAAAGGAAATTTAAATATGAATGCAAAATATATATATTCTTATTTATCAGATTATCAAACACTAAATGAATTAATATAAAATATGGACAGTGGGGCTGTAGCTTTTGGAAAATGGACTGAGAAGGCTTTGTGTGTATATTTGTGCATCTATAGGTATATGTAACAATAATAATCAAGGAAAAGGAACCCATAAATTTGAGGGGGAGTGGGGGGCATGGGAGGGCCTGGAGGGAGGGGACACAGGAAAGAGAAGAGAGGAAGTAATATAATTATATTTTAATTAAAAATATATTTAAAAGTCTTTAAAGCTGAATACTTTTACAGGAAAAATTCAAAAGTGGAAGCTTACATTAAAGGAAATATTTTGGGCTGCATTAATTCTTACGTTTATTAGAAAATTCATCACTTTATATCATATTTTCAAAACGTAGGCAAAAGGCAGAGAAATACTGACATAAAATGACTGAAGGCCTGGGTGCCAAGCTGTCAGTAAATAGTGGCAAATTTTCTTGGGAAAGCAAACAGACCTGGGCTCTCGAAGGCCTTGGTGATAGGTCTGGCACTGGCTATTTAACTGGAGATGAGGTTACTGCAGCCGCAGGTTATAGCAAGTTCAGGGAATAAGACTATCTTTGAAGTGTCTTCTTCATGCTATGGTTTTCTGAACAGGTCACACACATACCAGCAACACAGTTTTCCCGACCCAGGCTCTGAGGCATCCCCATGTCAGGCTGAGTTCATGCAAAAGATGAGATAAATAGATGTTGGGGAGATTTGCCCCAGCTGTTTAGAAAGATAATCTTGAGTTTAAGCATGACAGGTTCAAGCAGTGAATGGAAATACATTTCAAGTTCACTTAATTTTCAAAACAATTTGCCAACACGACAATAGCTTTAGACAGATATTAAATCCTGATTTCAAGTGCTCAGTGTATAAACTTTCCTACTTAACTTCGAAGTTAAAATCAGATTTTTAAAACCCTGTTTCATATTTTATTTCCATTTTCAATTTTCCCTTTCCTTTTTCATATCCAAAACTCACTAAGCTGTTTAATGCTGTGGAATGCCTGCGAGTCCCGCCATGCCACAGAGATAGATTATTTTCAGTGGAACCTCTGCACTCTCTGTGAAGTCAATCAAGGATGACTCTCTGAGAGCATGGATTCAGTTCTTTTCCATCCACAGTGACTCAGAGCTGAAAAGAAATCAAATACTGACCACAGCACCTCTAGTTCCTCTGGCACCTTTAGGGCCGCTTCCCCCAACTTGTCCAGGGGAGCCTCTGCTTCCGACTTCTCCCATGGGTCCTATTTGTCCTTTATCACCCTGTGGAAGACATTAGCATGAATGAAGGTAGATGTATTAAGTAATTTAACTATACCATGTACGTGAATAGCTCAGATACGTGGCAAGCAGAATCCTATGGATTACTGTTATTGATATAGGTCTGTTTTCTGAGACAGAATCTCACTGTGTACCTGTGAATGGTCTGGAGCTTACTAGGTAGATCAAGATAGCCTTGACCTTGTGGGCGATCTTCCTGTTTCTGCTGCCTGACTACTGGGTATTTGCTCTCTCTCATACACACACACACACACACACACACACACGACACACACACACACGACACACACACACACACACACACACACACACACCACAGATATATACTATCACATTGGCCTACAATTGTGCAAATTAAATATTTCACTTCAAGTTAAGAACACCACAGATTATCGTTAACAATAAGAAACTACGGTCACATGTTATTTAAAAATAATAACAGTTTTGAAAAGAAATTAAAAGGACATTAAAAAAAACAACCAAGCCTGCTTGGGAGAAGTCCTGTGTAACCAGCTTTCAAACATACTTTGCTACAAACATGTCTCTCTTTTGCATGTGTGTATTGTAATTGTGAGAAAAGAGGCCTCATGAGATGTCCATTTCCACAGAGAACTTCAGCATCCCAAATAGCTACGGCATGCCAGAAAGAGTGAGCACAGAGTTCTGGACTTAAAGGGTCATCAGTCTCCTGACCGCAGCACGTCTGCAAGGATCCATGTTGTTTCTTGCACCACTTCAGATCCTTTAGAAACCTGCATGCCTCTGGCATTAACTTACAGACATTTCTCTAGACCCACAAGTGGGTGCTTAAAAGCTATATTTGAGTGTGTGTGTGTGTGTGTGTGTGTGTGTGTGTGTGTATTGCTGCTTTGGAGCAAATACTGCTAGGCAATTATAAAGCTCCCCAAACTGATACTGATGCTAGTTGCATTATCAAGTATCAGGAAAGAGACTTAATGATAGGGGGTGTATTTTCAAAGTTAGAAATGGTAGTTAAAACTTTTCTTAACCTTCTATTGACTAAAGCTGAAAATGATGGCTCAGGTATAGAACTAAACATTTGAGGCAGCACAGATTTTAAGTTTACTCTGTGAATGTGTACTCAGCTGTCTGTTGGAAAACCTGTTAACCATACTTCACCAATACTGGGACAAATTATTGATATGATACAAAGATGCATTTTCACAGCAACATATTAGGATCTTACAAACACATCAAGAATTTTGTTCTTTTTGGAAAAAGAAAAACAAGCAAGTGAAATTTTTTCTTGATTTCTGGATTTTGTTACAGGAGGAAGGTGAGAAAAACCAACATTTTCTATTAAGAAACCAACCATTTCTATTAACCTACAAATAAGAGTAAGCCCCCAATTTCCCCCGATATTTTACTAAACTTGTTCTCAAATGGCCCAAATGAAATATTTTTGTTTTATATCTTTCCTTATCCATGGCTTTGTGGTAAATAAGAGACAAAAGAAAGAAAGCCAAGTTTGACTTTCCAAGCTATCGAGTGGGAAATCTGCCCTCAAACAATGATGGTAACATGCACCATTGGACTAACCACTTAGATGCTAACAACACATTTATAAGTCTTGATCACCACATGCCTAATGCAAACACAGCCATTGTAGTGCTCTGTAGATCTTTGGAGATAAGAAGAAAGAAAACTCACATGAAAAGATGGAAAAGAATTACCTTTTTCCCTGGTCGACCTCTTTGTCCTGGGGTTCCCACATTTCCTTCAGGTCCCTGTTCATTCAATATAAAAAAGAAAAAAATGACTAAAGAAAAAAAAAACCTAGGCTTTGAATACTTCTGTCAGATAATCAGTGAAATAAACACTAAATATAAACAAAGGTTAATTTTCAACACTCATTTCTATAGTTGTTTTAAAATGTTACAATGATTAAAAGGCAAAGTAGTTACCATTCTATGAATGTCATATGCACATATAGGTCAACACAAACCCTGAACTGTTCTTTTGGAAGAAAGTTTCTTGGAATATACCCCTTTAATTAATGAGAATGTGATGAAAGTGCACCCAAATGCATTCATTTTAGTGAGCTGCATTTAACTCAGCATTTCATTGAAAGAACAAAGTTAAAAAACGTATCTACCACATGGTCAAGGCAAGTCTCAAAATACCACTGAAGTGGAGAATAAAAAGGAGGCAAAAAGAATTAAAGAAAAAGGGGAAAGGTAAGGAGAAAAGAGGCAGTTGTAGCAAGGTAAAACAACATTTTGATTTCAACTGGTAATTCGTTTTCTTTGCAAAGTAGAGTTTTTAAGGTAAGAGTGTGGTGCTGCTCGGAGCTGTGCATCAACAGTGAAGAAATGTAATCTATAGTGCGCCAGGCTGCCAGTCCTAAAATGGGTAGTAATAATTACAGTTTTCTTTTCATTAGTTGGAAATGGAAATGGAAATTTCAGATTTGTGTCCCTGAAGCTTGGCAAGCGTAGGTAGACAAGAAATAAATGGTGGTTCACCACTGGGCTGTGCAGGCTCTTGATAAATATTTGTTGAATGAATAAACAGACACCCAAGGAAGTGACTCACACCCTACACTTCCCAGCAAACACTATTCTAGTCCCAGTCCCTGACTTCAGAGTCCCAAGGAGCTATGTTTGATGGCTGCACCACAGCTGCATCCAGAGGGAGAAATGAGAGCTGCGCTGTGTGGGAGACTTTCCCTTGCAAATAAATAAACAAAAAATTTCAAAAGAAGCTGATTAACTTTCACAGAGCTTTAACTGTCAGGCTTTTCTGGTCTTAATTGCCACACAGCCACTGACAAATGAGGGTTAGAGAGATCTCAGCCATCGGGAACGATAACTGCTCTTCCAGAAGACCCAAGGTGGCGCACACAATTACCTGCCTCCAGTTCCAGGCTCTCCTCTACAGGCACCCACACACGTATTCCTACACAAAGAGACATACTCACACATTCCGTAGTTTTTTTTAAGCCTCTGTTTGTTCCTTAAATAAAAGGAGGATATAATAAAAACTCTTGGATGTGTAACTAAGCAAGCAAATGAAGACAACTGTGCACATTAAGCTTGGAAAATATTGGCTTCTAACAAAGGGCTCAATGAAGTTAGTTTTCACCAACCTCTGCCCTTTGAGTATTTAGTATTCAGTAATTAAATACATGTAAAAACAATAGAAATTCAATGAAATCCCATGTGCTTGCTACCCATGTAAAGAACAAGACCAACACATGTGTATAGGACTGGAATGAAGCACAATCTCTACTTTTCACGGTGAGCTGGGCGAGGGGGGACGATCTGGTACGATCACTGTCTGGGACTCTCTGCTATCTCCACACAGTTCTTCACAGGGCATTCCTCCTCTGCCCACGCTGCAGCACATGGCAGATAATAGCACTACAGTTCTGCACCTTTAAACTCTGGCTAGTGTCGTACTAAATGCCTTCTGATCCTCACTCCCTCTGCTTTTGCCATTATCCTCCGTGTCTTTAATCCTTCCACATTTTTAACTATTGTAGGGTTCCACATGGTAAGACCACAGTTTAACCATGTTTCCCGGTGATTAGACTTTCTTCTACTTCATAAAGTTGCAATACGTAAATTTGCACATGACCGTGCCTAGAGTTTCATTTGTTTCTCCTTGAGTTGAATTGCTGGCTTGTGTGTGTGTGTGTGTGTGTGTGTGTGTGTGTGTATGTGTGTGTGTGATTATTTTTCCTGTATGGACCATCAGTAATTACACCATAATTTATTATATAGTAATTTTCCTTATTAATACAAAATGATTAAATATTAATAAATCAAATGACCAAACATCAAGTTTCAATACAGACTCAGATCTGATTTCAGGGCATTTTCTTTTGACATCTGTAAACCATATAAAATTAATCATATCATGGTAACGTTAATAATACTCTGATATCATGTAAGTCAAGCTATCTCATTTGCCTCCCTCTCTACACACCCTCAGGTTGTTCTTTAAAAGTGTTCTAATCTATTATAACAGAAAAAGCTTATCTTAACAATTCACAACATACAAACTAATGTATGGAGAGTAAACAAAGAGATAAACAAAATGAAAATTTGGAAGCTTACCAATCACCATGTTGATTTATGTAGATTTTGTATTTCTATTCTGAATAAATCATATGTTTTATTTTTATTTTTATTATTATTAAAAACATCAATCACTTAAACAGAATTTGTTTGAAATTTAATGGGTTTACTGTTAAGGAATAAACTCATAAAGTTTTTTTTTTTAAGTGTTCTAATCTTCAGTACAAATTTTGAGTTAATTTTAATCAATCAACTCTACAAAAAATCCTATAGCGATTTTTGACTGAGATTGTATTAAATGTAAACTGGTTTAGAAATAATTTAACGGTAATAAGTTTTCCTCTTCATGAATATTAAATCTCTGCCTATATGCTTCGTGTTTTTAGGGTTTACTTAGGTTATATTGTTCTCAAATTAGAAAAATCTACAAAATTTTACAAATACTCTGGTAAGACTTAATCCAAGGAGCTTGATTTTGTGGCTGAATATAATCAAAATTCTTTGGTGTTGGTAAAGAAACAAAGATTCTATTTTTGTATATTAATGTTTCATCTGACATAATGATGAAATCCTGCTAATTATAATTTACAGGCTATTTATTTTCTTATACAAATATTTGTATTTATATAAATATTAGCAGCATTAATCTGAGTAATATTAAGAAGAAAGGAAAAATGCCAATCTTATCTCATTTCTTTTGACGTTTCTCCAGTGAGTATAATAGCAAAAGTGTTGATACAAGTTTTAATAAATGTTTGTTTCATCTATTGGGGTGACTATAGACTTGTGTTCAATTTTGTAAAACACGTGACTCACATTTATAACATTTTAAAACGTTAAGCTTTTGGTACAGTATTGGTATGAGGGAAATCACAAGACTTTTAGGTGTACCAGTGCTTTTAAATGAAGTAAATTCAAATATCTGCACACTCACTGACAGGAGGCACACCCGCTGTCACCAACATGTCAGAAAGGCATCACTTGTTTATGGCAGCGCTTACAAAAAAGTGTTGGCACGGGTGATAAGCTCTTTAACTGAGGTGTTTCTTTGAAGATAAATTGCGTACTCATCTCTATTTTAAGAGCTTCCTTCTCTCATCATTTTCAAGTTAGTAATCTTGTCTCCCAGCTCATTAAGATACAGTAGCAATCAAATCAGGAGCTATTTTCCCAAACTTAACCTACAGCTGCTGTTTATTCACACATATCTTCTGCTGCTTTTCTCCAACAGAAAAGTAAGGGTCCGTTCCCTAGCTGAGGGCATGTCTCCTCGCTTGCCCACACATCTCCTTCTGAAAGTGTCCAGTCTGATTGTACCATCAATGTCTTCCCTGATGTGTCATTCCCAACTCCATTCAAATAGGTTTAAAGCTATTTGAGAGACTCTTCAAGCGTATGTGTTTTTCCTTTTTCTCTCTTTCTCCTTTCCTTCCTTCCTTCCTTCCTTCCTTCCTTCCTTCCTTCCTTCCTTCCTTCCTTCCTTTCTTCCCTCCTTCCTTCCTTCCTTCCTTCCCCCATTCATTTATTTCTGAAAATTTCCAGAACCATTTTGCTGGTTTATTCCACTTACAGCAAAACCTTTTGAATGTTGTGCTCACTCTTCTAATCACGGATCTAATCTCTCATCTCTCTTTGGTTGGGCTTTTGTTCCCACCACTGAAACTGACCTCTGGAGAATCAAATCCAATGCTTATTTTATTTGAAACATTTTTTTTTAAATTTAAAACTTCTTAAAGCCTTTGTTTTCATTGCAACATGCTTTCCTGGTTTTCTACTTACATTTTTAACTAATTAATTAATTTGCTTGTTCATTTTACATCCTGGTTGTAGGCACCTCTTTCTCTCCTCCCAGTCACAAAGTCCCTCCCCATCTCCTCTCCCCTTAAAAGGGGAGCCTCCTACGCAGACACCCCAGCTCATCTATTTACATGAGGACTGAGTTCATCCTCTCCTCTGTGGCCTGGTGAGGCAGTCCTGTCACCTTAAATGGGGATATCTCCTCCTCTATCCAGCGTTTTAATACTCTTTTATCTCCTTAGGTGATCTCATCCTACCCCATGTTGTTAAACACCACCTGGATGCTCTTGATTCCTAAATTATGGCTGCCCTGATCACACTATCTAATTACATCTCTTCTTGAATCTCTAACAAACAACTCAAACTTTATGTACTCAAGCCCAACTCTCCAATTCCCTCCTCCTACCCCTAAACTTGTTTTTTCCTGATCCTCCCATCTCCACTGTAATGGGCAATCGTATTAGAAATTTATTATTAAAACATTTCTCTTTGTGTACTTTAATAGCAGGACTTCACCCTTTTTTAAGTCTAAAGGGTTCATGTGCTTAAGGAGGGATTGTCTTGAGGCTTGCTCTATTCTCCTTTTCTTCATTTTAAACAATTTACAAGTTCAGTCTGGAGTACCAGCTCTCAAGCCTCTTCTGTACTTAAGAAGATACTGTCACTTTAAGGCTTTTTCTAGAAGGCGAAGGGATGTGACTATTACAGCGGAGTAAGCAGATTTCTAGTTCTTCTCCTCAAGGAGGAGAGAGAAGGGGTCTAGAAGAATGACCTGACTCCTGCAGAGTCTAAATTTAGTCTAATGTTCATCAAGCCTAGGATATCCTTTGACTCTGTCCCCCGACAGGGTTGGGGTTACAGCTTCTTAAAAGGATGCTGGGGATTCGAACTCAGGTCCCCATGCTTGT